GAGAGCACTGTGGACTCAAACAATGATGGATCTGGATCAAACTTGGTACCAATACTCAATATGCCCAAATGTGAACACTGGTGGAGTTTTGGGGAAATAGTCCTTCACATTTGGGAGTTGTCGTTGCTAGGATTTATAGTTCACTTACAATCAAAGAGCATTCTGAACCCCACCAACGATGGAATGAACCAAACTTTCCACACAGAACCCTCATGTCCAACAGAAAATACTGTGTTTTCAGATGGTCTTTGGTGACCCCTCTGGTACCCCCTCACCCCCCCCCCCCAGAGGTCCCAACCCTCAGGTTGGGAAACGCTGAGTTATGGGGTTGTGCCATAGACATCATGGAAAATATGAGGTTTTGGAAGGGACTTGAAAGAGGTAAGAAAGGCATCATCAAACAGGTGTTGGGAAGAAAGCTCTTGATCTAACAATAAGGTAACCAATGAATGGTTGAAAGTAGTGGAGTTGTAGAAACATAATGGTCACAGATAAGCGTACATACAGGTATAAAGTAATTAAGAGGGAACTATGCGATTAGGAAACTGTAACCAAAAAATTATTTCCTCCTTGAGCTCTTATGTTCTCTACTCAGTCTCAGAAGTAATACAATTTTCTCTTTGTCTGTTCATAGCAATTTATCCACTCTGAATCCTTGAAGAATGTTGTTAGAGTATCCTCAGAGCTGAAGGTTTGCCACCTCCTGCAGTAGGGTTTTTATAGATTGTTCATGCTTCAGAATCTCTGCTCATAATAAGCAGAAAAATGTATTATGAGGCGGGCTTCTTGCTTGTTCTTTGAGATGGCAAAATTGTGTGTCGGATCAAATTTCCATCACTCCTACTGCCTTCAGGAATGGGTCGAAAAAGAATATGTTTGCGAAAAGGAGCTTGTGGAGGCAGCAAATAGGAACCCTCTAATATGGTCTCAAAAGAGAGGGCAAGAAAGGCAGAGGTGGGGAGAGGGGGAGAGAGATACGGCAATAATAATGGCCTGTTCTTTAGAAGTATATAGTGTTGTTATTTCGTGAGCGTCACACCCACCATGAAAGCTGAAATTGCCACGGAGCAATATAAAAAGCTGCAAATACTATTAGGCAGTAGGGATCTATATTCCAACAATGTATTTGTTTATGTAATATATATATATATTTAAATGACAAGATATCCACATTTATCCCGTGATTTCAGCTGACCTCTACATTTTCCCCATGGATGTATTGAATGGAGAGATGGAGCATCATTTGACAGGTTACAAACACAGCAAATCTACTACACAGCATACCTCTTGGCCTCAGAATTAGGCACCATGGGACAAAAGTCCTAAATTTGGGATAATTGGGAACAAAAAAAACATTTGAACAGAAAGTCATGACCAAGGATATCTCTTCAGATGAGCTGAATGTATCTAGACATGAGAGTGCCAATTCTAGGAGCCCACAGTAGTGCAATGTGCCAGCAGGACTGCTGATCGAAAGGTCGGCAGTTCAAATCCGAGGAGCAAGGTGAGCTCCCATCTGTCAGCTCCAGCTTCTCATGCAGCGACATGAGAGACGCCACCCACAGGATGGTAAAACATCAGGGCTTCCCCTGAACAACGTCCTTGCAGGTGGCCAATTCTCTCATACCAGAAGCGACTTGCAGTTTCTCAAGTCCCTCCTGACACGAAAAAAGTGCAAATTCTAAAGAGATAGATACGTGCCATCAATAATGTTTTTCTTAGAACATCAGGTCTTGATCAAGGATAAGAATCAGGGATTCAAGGGGCGATGGCTAAATAAATTCAGGGCCATCTCTAGTGTGGGGTTCGACATCTTGGGCTTTGCAGTCTCCGTTAGAAAAAGCAAGCGAGTTTGTCTTGTCATATCTCCACGCCTCCCTTCTGTTCACCCTCATCGTCACATTGTTCCCATAAAAGTTCTAATGATTTCCACAGCTGAATCACCAAAAAATGTGATGAATTCTCCAGAACTAGGCATCTTATGCAAATACAGCAAATTTGCATAACATATTCTGACACATTTCATCTCCGATTGCAGAATTTCCTTCCTTGACATCTGAGATTTTACGAAAAGGACAGGATACAACATACATACATGGCATTAGGATAGAAACAAAACAATGATGGGGACAAAGATAGGATGATAGAACAAGGCAGGGGAACCTTCGGTCTTTCTTCTCTTTCCGAGTTCTCTGTTTGGGTTATTGCTCCAAAATACCGGACTGGTATAGGGTAATGAATTATGAAAAAGAAGCTTTCATAAGGGTTGTTGTGCATTTTCTGGACTGTATGGCCATATTCCAGAAGCATTTTCACCTGACGTTTCACCTGCATCTATTGCAGGCATCTTCAGAGGTTGTGAGGTCTGTTGGAAACTAGGTTTATATATCTGTGGAATGGGAGTGGGAGAAAGAACTCTTGTCTGTTTGGGGTAGGTGTGAATGTTTCAATTGGCCACCTTGATTAGTATTTAATAGCCTAGCAGTTTCAAGCTCTGGCTTCTTACTGCATGGGGGAATCCTTTGTTGGGAGGTAATTAGCTGGCCCTAATTGATTTTTCGGAGCCCCCGGTGGCGCAGTGGGTTAAAGTGCTGAACTGCTGAGTTTGTTGACCAAAAGGTCGCAGGTTTGTTTCCGGGGAGCAGCGTGAGCTTCCCCTGTCAGCCCTAGCTTCTGCCAATCTAGAAATTTGAAAACATGCAAATGTGAGCAGATCAATAGGTACTGCTCTGGCGGGAAGGTAACGGCGCTCCATGCAGTCATGCTGGCCACATGATCTTGGAGGTGTCTATAGACAACACTGGCTCTTCGGCTTAGAAATGGAGATGAGCACCACACCCCAGAGTCAGACATGACTGGACTTAATGTCAGGGGACAACCTTAATTGTTTTTTGTCTGGAATTCCCCTGTTTTTGATTTACTGTTATGATTTTAGAGGGGCTTTTTAAATACAGGTAACCGGATTTTGTTCATTTTCATGGTTTCTTCTGGCTACCAGAAGGATTCCCCCAGGCAGTAAGAAGCCAGACCCTGAAAGTGCTAAGCCATTTGAAACATTCTGTATACAGAACCTAGAAAGGGAGAAGGACTGACAGGGAGTTAAAGGATGATAAGACTAGGACAGTTATGGGTTATATTCTTAGGATTATAGGGAAGCAACCTATTATCTGTTGAGCTTCAGAGAAATGGATTAAAACAACAGGATTATACTATGTCAGTAGAGGTGATAGGAGAGAAACTCTTAATACAGCCGCATGTACAAAATCCTCAGTTTGAACCTTGGCATTGTCAGTAAGGGGGCAAAGTAAGGACAAATCAACAGTGCTGAGCCCCTCGGGGTTAAAAAGGAGGGCAGAACTTGCCTCTGGACATTTTTTATAAATTGTGCAATTGTCCTGCCTCATTCACAGGAGATATTATGAGGGGTCCAGGAAATATATTCTTCCATTTGCAACCTTCTCTAAGTTTCACACACGGATTCTTCCATCTTTTTTCCTTATTACAGAAAATCTGGAAAGGTGGGGAAGACATTGTATTGTCGAAGGCTTTCGTGGCCGGAATCACTGGGTTGTTGTGTGTTTTCCGGGCTGTACGGCCATGTTTCGGAAGCATTCTTTCAAACCTCACAACCTCTGAGGATGTCTGCCATAGATGCAGGCGAAATGTCAGGAGAGAATACTTCTGGAACATGGCCATACAGCCTGGAAAATACACAACAATGCTAGGGAAAATATTGCCTTTGGGTCAATAAAGAGCTTTGAAACACCTAGAGCAGGCATGGGTAAACTTTAGCCCTCCAGGTGTTTTGGACTTCAACTCCCATAATTCCTAACAGCCTATCGGCTGTTAGGAATTATGGGAGTTGAAGTCCAAAACACCTGGAGGGCCAAAGTTTACCCATACCTGACCTAGAGAGAATCTGCTGGTCAGCTCAGGATGGGCAGGAAACATACTTTGGCATCATTCATTTTGTGTTTCACTTGTTACAGAGAAGAGGAACATTCCTCCACTAGAAATCCTACAAAGCACCACTCTGGTTTGAGATAATTCAGCAAGCATGGCTTAAGACTATGTTCACAGGCATAAGAAACTGACTTTTAAAAAAAGTTTTTCAAAATAAAACCCAAAGATATTGAATTCTGTTCTGAACCAGCTGTGTGTTGACACATAGAACATAGGCAGATTTGAGTATACAAAAGGCTGTTCTCAGTACAGACATGGACCACTGGGTTGTTGAAGTGGGGAAGCAGATTGAGAACCCCTTAGCCGAAATGCTTGGGACCAGAAGTGTTTGGGATTTTAGATTTTGGAACACCTGTATTTCCTTATATGTACGTAATAAGATATACATAGAATGAAGGCAATTTTATACATAATATTTTTAACAATTTGATGCATGAAACAAAGCCTGTGGACAGTGAAACATCAGAAAGCAAAGTTTGCCACTAAAAGATAAAGGTTTTCCCTTGACATTAAGTCTAGTTTTGTCCGACTCTGGGGGGTGGTGCTCACCTCCATTTCTAAGCCGAAGAGCCGGCGATGTGGGAGCGATACCTATTGATCTACTCACATTTGCATGTTTTCAAATTGCCAGGTTGGCAGAAGCCATCCGGCAGCTCCAGCTCCCCATGCAGGGACATGAGAAAAGCCTCCCACAAGGATGGTAAAGCATTAAAACATCTGGGCGTCCCCTGGGAAAGGTCCTTGCAGATGGCAAATTCCCTCACACCAGTTTCTCAAGTCGCCCCTGATATGAAATAAAAAGCCACCCATGTGAAGAACCAATTTGGGAGTTTGGGAGATTTTCAGGTTCCACTATCTCAGCCACCTATGTGGAGAATTTTGGATTTTTGGACAATTTCAGAAATCTGGATAAGGGATGCTCAGTCTGTATAAACAGCATTCAAATGTGATCAAGTCAAAGCCAGAGGGCTGGAGGGAGGGAGAGAGGGGTTCAGTGGAAAGAAAGAAGTGGCATGCCAGGATGAGGTTTCTCTCACCAGATGAAGTCCGTGCAGTGGCTGCAGAAGGTGGGCTGCTTGAAGAAGCGGGCTGTGAATTTGTGGCTCTTCACCTCATGGATGACCTTCTGGCGAAGTGCCCCCTTCCGGCAGAAAAGTGGCTTGGTCAAGCACTCAGTCTCAGTCGGGGAGCTCAGCAGTGCCATGGTGGGGTGCCCCCTGGCAGAGATGCCCAAGTGCCCAGGAAAGAAAAGCAAAAAGGGGGGTGAAGAGGGAAGAAGGGATGGGAAGAGGAGGAAGGAAAGGATGCTCAAAGAGAAGGGTACAGGGACTGGAGACAAAAAAAGATGAGGAAAGGGGATGGAAGAGATGGATGGAAGGAAGGAAGGCAGGTGGGAAGAGAAAGGGACTAATTGAAAAAGGAAGAAGGAGAAGAATGGGAAGAGGAAAAGAGAAGGGATGAGAGGGAAGAAAGGATGGGCAAAGAAGAGTGCAGGAGCTGGAGAAAAAAGGATAAGGAAAGAAGCAAACCAACTGAAGGAGAGATGGAAGGAAAGGAGGAAGAAGGCAGGTAGAAAGAGAGGAGCTGAAGGAAGAGGAAAGGAGGAAGGAAGGAAGGGAAGAAAGGATGGGCAAAGAAGAATGCAGGAGAAAGAAAGAAAGAAAGAAAGAAAGAAAGAAAGAAAGAAAGAAAGAAAAGGAAAGCTGCAAAGTAATGGAGGGAGAGATGGAAGGAAAGGAGGAGGAAGGCAGGTGGAAAGAGGAGAGGAACTGATAGAAAAAGGAAGGAGGAGAAGAATGGGGAGAGGGAAGAGAGGGAGGAAAGGATGGGCAAAAAAGGGTGTAGGAGCTGGAGAAAGGAAGAAAAGGAAAGCGGCAAAGTAATAGAGGGAGAGATGGTAGGAAAGAAGAAGGAAGGAAAGTGGAAAGAGGAGAGGAACTGATAGAAAAGGGAAGAAGGAGAAGAATGGGGAGATGAAAGGAGAAGGGGAGGAAAGGATAGGCAAATAAAGGTGAAGGAGCGGAGAAAGAAGGATAAGGAAAGAGGCAACCCAATTAAATGAGAGATGGAAGGAAAGGAGGAGGAAGGCAGGTGGAAAGAGAGAGGAACTGACTGAAAAGGGAAGAAAAAGGATGGAGAAAGGAAAGGGGGAAGGAGAAGAGAAGGCTGCTGGAGAAAGAACGATGGGGAAAGGGGGCAGACAAACGAAGGAAGGAATAAATAAGGCAGGTAGGTAGAAAGAGAAGGGAAATGATGGAAGAA